GGAATCGGTCAAGTATGATTCTAGACCAAATTGATGTATAGCCAAAAATAGAGTATCAAATCTATCTATATATGTACACAATGCCTCTGTAAATAGTTTAGATGTGTAATACAAAGTAAAGAAACTTTGACATGGTATCAGAGCTTCTCACAACTTGGTTTCCTGTTCACGCCCATTCCTAGTCCCGATCTTCCTTCCACCAACCATCTGCTTCTATGGCAAACACCGACACTGAAACCCCAACCCAGACAGAACCCACCGACTAGAATACCCTCCTATCTAAACTATTCACGGCTACAATGGCCGAAGCTCTGTCCAAAGCCCCCAGGCCCCTACGGTGACCTCTAAACCTGCTCCTCTACCGATTGGTATTAAGTTGGATGGTTCTAACTATGCCTTATGGTCCCAAGTTGTCGAGATGTACATCTCCGGCAAAGATAAATTGGGTTACATTAATGGCGAGCTCACCCAGCCATCTCCGACTGATTCGTCCTTCTATAAATGGCGCACCAACAACACCATTGTTAAAGGTTGGCTGATTAAGTCCATGGATCCATCATTAATTGGCAATTTATTCTCTTTCCCACAGCCAAACTGGTTTGGGATTCTGTTGCCACCACCTACTTTGATGGTGGTGACACCTCCCAAGTGTATGATCTCAAGCGTCGTATCTCACATCTCCGTTACGCAGGTGGTTCCCTGGAAAAATACTACAGCGGTTTACAAGGTCTCTTGCGCGAGATCGACTTTCGTCGTCCAAATCCAATGGAGTGTCCTGCTGATATCTAACTATATAATAATCTCCTCTAAGAAGAGAGGGTTTATGTATTATTGGATGGTCTTGATGACAAACTGGACAATATTCGCAGTGACGTGTTACAGTTGCATCCATTTCCTACTGTTGAGCAAGTTTATGCTCATGTCCATAGGGAGGCCCTTTGTCAGGCAGTGATGAATGCCAGTGATGAACCATCACCAGGAGCAGTGCTTGCTTCGAGTGGCCTCAAGCTTGGGTCCTCTGGACCGACTTCCCAGCATACTAGGAAATTTGTCTCCAAAGTTCGCCCTTCATCTGATAGTCTCAAATGTTCCCATTGTGGCAATACGAAACATACACGTGAAAATTGTTTCAATTACATAGGTATCCTAATTGGTGGCATGAACTCCAAGCTCGGAAAAAACATGGTACTAGTGGTATGGCTGAAGGCACAGGTAAGGCTGCTATAGTGGCAGCCGAACCTCATCTATCTCTCATCCCACCCACTGTTTCTTCTCAACAGAGTTTTCCTCCTATGGAACAAGGTAATCCTTGTCACGCCTTGCTTAGTGATAGTCAAGATGTTGATCAAAAAGGTTGGCTTCTCGACTCTAGGGCCACAGACCACATGACATTTGACCCTGCCGATCTCTCCCACCACTCACCTCCAAGGCGCACCAGCATTGCAAATGCCAGGGAGATGATTTCACCGGTTACAAGGGCTGGCTCAGTGATCTTGTCACCCTCACTACACACTTACCTAATATTTTACTTGTTCCCTCACTGTCCCACAAATTATTGTTTGTTAGCCAAATTACTACAGAACTAAATTGTGTGGTACTAATGTTTGCCGATTTTTGTCTTATTCAAGATGTTCTCACCAAGGAGATAATTGGGCGTGGTACTAAGAAGGGGGGATTGTACTACCTGGAAGATTTCAGTTTGGGTCGAGCACATCATGTGTCTTCTTCACCTGGTTCCAAGCATCAACAGATTTGGCTGTGGTATCGTCGATTGGGACATCCATCATTCGGGTATCTAAGGCATTTGTTTCCGAATTTATTTTCCAATGTAGAGACATCTGAGTTTACTAGTGAAAATTGTATTTTAGCCAAAAGTCATAGGGCTACTTATCCATTAAGCATGAATAAAAGTGATACCCCTTTTGCTTTAATTCATTCTAATGTATGGGGACCATCTCCATTTTCTATTGTATCCGGTGTGAGTTGGTTTGTGATATTTGTTGATAACTGTACCCGCATGACATGGTTATATCTGTTGAAACATAAGGATGAAGTTTTTAAGGTCTTTCAGTCATTCCACACTATGATTCAGACTCAGTTGTCCGCTCCAATTCGGGTTCTCCGTTTAGACAATGGTGGTGAATATGATAATCACCACTTTAGCTCCTATTTTTAACAACATGGCCTTATCCACGAGACCTCTTGTCCTAAGACCCCACAACAAAATGGGGTAGCTAAACGAAAAAACCGACATATTCTCGAGACGGCCCGGGCTCTTCTCCTTGGCACACATGTCCCCGCACGACACTGGCCCGGTGCTGTTTCCACTGCCGTCCATTTGATCAACCGCCTCCCTTCCAAAATTTTGAATTTTCAGACACCGTTACAATCCCTATCAACTTTAGTTTCTCTACCTACAACCCTCATGCTCCCTCCTCGTACGTTTGGTTGTATGATGTGTCTACACCTGCATAAGAATCAGCGTACCAAACTTGACCCATGTGCTCGTTGGTGCCAATTCTTGGGATATGCTGTGCATCAAAAAGGCTACCGCTGCTATGATCCTACTACTCAGTGTACTTATGTGACCATGGATGTCACCTTTCTGGAGTCCGCACCATTCTACTCCTCCTCGGCCTCCACTTCTTCCCTTCAGGGGGAGACACTAGATGAAGAGTTGAAGTGGCTAACATTTGAATGGTTTGGAGATCAAAATGACACACAAATAACATCAACAGATATTGACACATCCTCTAGAGATCCACAAATGGAGCATACAACTGAATCCCCCTGCCCCTTAGTACCCGCAATTCCATCTCCTGAGAATATTCCTGAGGTAAGTAATATCAGCACACCCTCCCCTATAAATGACATTGATACTTGTGTTGGATATAACTTACCTTTCAAGCATAACCAAGGCAAGCCACCAAATAGATATTCTCCAGAGGTGGAGTAAAGAAGGTCAAGGTGTCCAATTGCCAACTATGTCTCCACCACAAAGCTACCTAAGCCTCTCAAGACCTTTTCACATGATCTTTCTGCATGTCATATTCCCACTACAACTCAGGAAGCATTAATGGACCCTAATTGGACCAAAGCAATAGAGGAAGAAGTGGAGGCACTACTAAAAAATCAAACATGGACCTTGGTTCCTCTACCCCAAGGGAAGAAGACAGTCGGGTACAGGTGGGTCTTCTCGATTAAATATAAAGCAGATGAATCTATAGAACGATACAAGGCGAGGCTAGTTGCAAAAGGGTACACTCAGACCTATGGACTAAATTATCAAGAAACTTTGTCACCAGTAGCTAAACTCAATACAATCAGGGTTCTGCTATCTCTCGCAGCCAACCTGGATTGGCCATTGCATCAGTTAGATGTAAAGACTGCTTTTCTCCATGGTGACCTTGAAGAAGAAGTCTACATGAAAACCCCTCCAGGATACATGGCATCCTCAGAAACTGAAGTTGTGTGTAAATTGCAGCATGCACTGTATGGACTGAAACAATCACCTCGAGCATGGTTTGGGCGGTATAGTCAAACAATGAAGAAGTATAGCTTCTGCCAAAGTAATTCAGACCACACATTGTTTCTGAAGCACCGACGAGGCAAGTTAACTGCTTTAATTGTGTATGTCGATGATATGACCATCACAGGGGATGATACAGAGGAAATTGCTAAGCTTCAAAAACAACTGGCAACCGAGTTTGAGATGAATAATTTGGGGGGCCTTAAATATTTCTTGGGAATAGAGGTTGCTAGATCAAAACAATGTATATTTCATTCCTAGCAAAAATATATATTGGATTTACTATATGAAGTTGGAATGTTGGATTGTAAACCAGCAGACACTCCAATTGTTCAGAATCACAAGCTCGAAGAACATCCAAGTAAAGTGTCAGTTGACAAAGGAAGATACCAGAGGTTAGTTGGGAAACTCATTTATCTCTCACATATCCGTCCTGATATTGCTTATGCGGTGAGTGTAGTAAGTCAATTTATGCACCAACCAAGGAAGGATCATATGGAAGCAGTAATCAGAATTTTACGATACCTAAAATCCTCCCCAGGAAAAGAACTTATGTTTTCTAAAAATAACCATCTCAAAGTTAATAGTTATACCGATGCAAATTGGACAGGAGACACCACAGACAGAAGATCCACCTCTGGCTACTTCATGTTTGTTAGGGAAAATCTGGTTACTTGGAGAAGTAAGAAGCAAAAGGTGGTGGCATTGTCAAGTGCTGAAGCAGAATTCCGTTGAATGGCTAAAGGACTTTGTGAGCTTCTATGGCTCAAAAGACTCGTTACAGAAATTGGGTTTGCCCCTACCTCCGAGATGGATCTCTTTTGTGATAATAAGGCAGCAATTGCTATTGCCCACAATCCTATCTAGCATGATCGCACTAAACACGTGGAGATTGACAGACACTTTATTAAAGAAAATCTAGCAGCTAAAATAATTCGGTTTCCATTTGTGAAATCTGAAGACCAACTGACAGATGTTCTTACAAAGGCTGTATCAAGCAAAGAATTCTACAACTCACTAGACAAGTTGCGCATCAAAGATTTGAATGCTTCCACCTGAGGGGGAGTGTTGGCATGAGTTGTCAATCAAGAATTAAAACAGAGAGATAATAGGAATCGGTCAAGCATGATTCTAGACCAAATTGATGTATAGTCAAAAATAGAGTATCAAATCTATCTATATATGTACACAATGCCTCTATAAATAGTTTAGATGTGTAATATAAATTAAAGAAAATTTGACATTCTTATTATTGTAAGTTAACTATAAATACAATGATATATGAGAACTAGGTCAAGCTTTTGACCTCTCTCTATTCCTCTTCAATATATTGTGTTAATCCTTTACACTTAACAAAGATAAAAGGAAATACAGGGAAAAAGAACATCACAACAAAGTAGCTCAACTAGATCCCCAAATATTCTCCCAAGACTGATTAGAAATAAAACAATTCATGAATGTCAATTCGCTTTTATGCCCACCAACTAGTAGCAAAAGAGTGTCTAATTTTCAGAAGCATTTTACCTAACCAGTCACTTCCCTTCACAGTGTCATACATGTGCCACCTCCAATCATCCTCAGTCATATTTCCTAATGCAGCATTTATTCCACCCTGCATAAGTTTCAACATTCAAGATTAAAGTAAACATATCCAACTTCTGCCCAAACGAGCAAAACATGGTTGCACTAAGCCAATGCAGCTAGATGCGATAAATTTGCAAAAATAAAACAATCAGATGTCATAGTTGTCAAACTGAAGGTGAAACCAAAGTGGATCCCTGATGAATAACTTTACAAACCCAACAATCCACGACACATAAATTCTGATACCAAGAGAAAAGCACTATAATAAGTCAACTCTAGGTAGTAAGGATAGACTGAATATAAAAGCACTGTTTTTTCATAATAATTTAATGCACAAACAAGGGATTGTCTTCAAAGATTCTGCAGTGTTGAGGTAAAGTTTATTGCTGTCCATGAAGAGTCCAGAAGGAAAAATATCAAATAAAAATATATGCTGAAAAGTCAGATATGGTAAATGTATACCAAATATGTAACAAGTTTACATCTGCAATAGAACAAATTTTGATTAGTAAGAACACAAGGAACACACAATGCCTCATGTTTGCATAAAATATAAATGTTTCTAATAGAAGACATTGAGAAGACAGCTCAACACGTTGATCTCCCACTATATATATGAAGCAACTAAATAATCTAAGTTGGATTTCTGAAAAGCAATCATCATGTTCCAGCAAATTGAGGTAGAAGGAAGAAATTAAGGCTGCCTTTTGATATAGGCAATTGAAATGAACAGGTTTTTTTTTGGTAAGCAAATGAACGGGTTTGAGTCCATTACTTGAAGTAGTTTACCGCAAAACAATCAACCAGTGACCTCATGTAATGAAGTTAATAAAATCAAAAGCCTTCTAAGGGTCTAGTTGAAATGATGAGGTGATTGGAGTTGCTTGAATTTCATGCACGAGAAATTTAGTTGCACAAGCATCATTCTTAGCCTATTTATTCCTTTTAGCCTTCTTATTTGTTCCTATCATTTTATGTGCCCATTGTTTTAGATCTTCACATCCATTCCTTTCAAATAAAATCCTATTCATAAAAAAAGGAGAAAAGAAAAAGAAAAAAATTATGACTTTATTCAAAATGCATACATTGAAATGCAACCTAATATTGCTACACAACAAAGGATTTTATATGACTTCAAATTTCATAGCTCCAAAATCCAATACAAAATCATAGTTATATCAACTTAAGCACGCATTGGATTGCATATTCACAGCAGAGAGCAACATTTACACTCGTGTAAAATTCAGAGAACAGAAGTGGATAATATATCACATGCATGAACAATTAGATAAATTGGCCCACACATTTATTCAGAGCCCAGAAGTTAACATACCTGAGCTGCAACGGTATGTGAACGAGTGGGGAAGAGCTTGGTAATGCAAGCAGTGTTGAAACCATGCTCAGACAGCCCTATTGCTGCTCTGAGCCCAGCACCGCCAGCTCCTACCACAACTGCATCGTACGTATGATCGACCACTGTGTATGACGAACCTCCCACATTCTGCTACAAACGAATTAGAGAAAGAAAATCACTGACTGCGATTCATACAATTTATAGAGTATTCAGTCGTTAGACTTACAAATACAAGTATACATTAAAAAACGCTGAAATCAATCAGTTGTATATAGGGAATAAGCAATTAAACAGAAAATCGGTTACCAAAATGATGAGACCTCTAATCATCAATAGCAAGAATTAAGAACAAATAAAATCTACGAGAGGTATAAATCGAGAATAGCATTAAAACCATAAGATTCGAGCTCATGACTATTGACAAGCGAGGGGAGAGGTCGTACTGATTGAGTGGAGAAGAGTCTACTAAAGTGAGGTCTGAGGGATTCGCCGGAGATGGATCTCTTTGAAGAAATGCCAAGGCCACGAGACACGCACCGCCACATCTCTCTCTGTATCCAATAATCTCCTCTCTCTCTCTCTCTCTCTCTCTCTATATATATATATATATATATATATGACACCTGCGACTCGTTGTCTCGGAGATTGCAGAGGAAGATGCAAAAGGAAAGCAAAAAGGTCATATACTTGGAATTTGTTTTTTTTTTTTTTTTTTAGTTTAGCCTGTGCCCACTGCGGAGGGTTTAATTCGGAATTGTTGGAGGCAGATGCGAGCTTCAACCAGGAATATTCGTGTAACTGCCCCTGATTTTGGAATATAACACGAAAATGCCACTTGAGTAATTTGATTTTCTTGTTTCCTAGACTTTATAATTTAATAAAAATCAAATGATAATCATTCTGTGATATGTATTTCTCATTTAGGATTTTAAATCAGCACTCATTAGTGGAGTGACATCCTTTCTAATTCATTTTTTCTTTAATTCCATTCTCCGCAAATTACTTGTTACTATGAATTCACATTAGACTCATTGTATATAATTGAGTCTTTAATTCACTAATGGTGAATGATTTATTAAAAAAATTTGAAAAAAAAATATAATTTTAGACATGATTTTAAATCCTTCAATAATACAATAACAATCTTTCAATTACTTTTTCTCTAGAAGCTCTCATAATGTCTATGAATAAGTTTTCAATTCACTAGAACGTGTACATGGCCTTGGAGATTTTAACATGGGCTAGTATACTTAACATAGTGACTAAACGAACCAACGCAAAGCACAGATAAGATTCAAACGTCATCAGTTAGTTCAAAAAACTTATTAATTATATTAATTAATTAATCACTAATAAACACTTTGGAACAATCACATATATCTAGTTTGTGCTTCTTTTTTCACAAGTTATACATGTATAAATTTTCTTACCCCTTGTATTGAGGAGGGGGGGGGGTGGCTCATGTATTGAGTTGCTGCACTAGAATGCAGTTAAAAACTAAACTATGGGCTCGTTTGGTAGACGTATTATGAGGGGATTAAATATTAGATTTTATTATTTTTTATTTAATCGGACCTAATATTATGTTTGGTAAGTAAATTTGATACCGTATTAATTTCAAAAACGTATACTTATCATATCTTTATCGTATATTTTTTATAGGTTAACCTGTATTATGGAGGTATTTTAATACCACCAAAAGAGATGGTATTATAATCAAACTCAAACGTATTATTTTGCACATTTACCATTATAACCCTCTAACTGATAAAATCAAACTGTCATCAATGTAACAAACACTGATTGAGGGTATTTTTGTTAATTCAACATTAATACGATAAAATAATTCATTAACCAAATAACCGATTTGATTAAATAATTACTATCCAACATTTATGTTGTATATTACCAAACACTAGATAAAATTATGTATTATTCTAATATCATATTTAGTTTTGTCTTTTGTCCTTCTGTATTGTATTAGACCGGATTATTTCATCTAATCCATCCATTTTTAATACGGCAATCAAACAAGTCCTATGTGTAATATATATTAAGAATTTGATCTTATTTATTGAAAGTCAAGTGCACAAGTTCTTTTCCACTTAGATAAGGCTTATTTCTATTGACGAGGCACATAACATAATAGAAATTTAAGACATTCGAGATAAGTAAAAAGAAAATGATACTTGAACTTAATTTAAGGATATAATCTGGTGGCCTAATTTAATGCAACAATTAAATTGAAAGTGAGTTCTATACAACATTAAAACTCATAACTAATTCAATAGTTGTATTAAATTAAATCTATGATTAAGTTTCTAAATTAAGTCCCTATAGTATTGCTCTAAGTAAAATGCATATGTATGTAACTTAATTTCTATAATATGATGTTTTATTAAAAAATTATTTGTAGATTAATGACAGATGATAAACCTTAAGATAGCATTTGATAATGTTATTTGAATAACGTTTTCAACTAAACAATTAATTTTGTCATAATAGCAAAAATAAAATTTTTTTATTATGTAATAATAGGGTATCATATGAATTTTAATATATGAATGATGTGCTTTTGTACATACATGTATCTATAAAATAAATTAGAGTTGTTTTTGAATTCAAATACAAAAAACTTCATAGATCGTTTTCAAGTTAAAACAAAGCATCATCTGACCGATGTGGTTATCTCAACTTATCTCAAATTTTTAACGACTTAGATAGTTTCATAATTATTGATCCAACGCACTAGATTAATCCTTGAAAAATTTAATCCTGTCTTTAAAATTCATATTTTTTGATTTTTGAATTTTTTCCAAATTTGTTGTTTGCAACCCTAAATCTCTATGCCACATTTGTTGCCCCTCGCCCCTCTAATTTTTCTCCCCTCCCCTCATAGCTCTTTCTCCTCTCTCCTCAATTCCCTTGCCCTTCTCTCTCATCTTTCTCTCGCATTTGCCTAGTTACTGCCAAATCTAAGCCTGCAACCCTTAACGCCAGTCACGATCGATAATAAAACCATGCCCTATTCTCCTGGTACCCCCTCCCTCTCTCTATGTCTCTTACATCTATCTTCCCTTTCTTTCTCTTTCCCTTCCTCTGGCGACCTTTCGCATTCTCTCTTTGGCTTCTCTTCCCCTTAGCTCTGTCTGCCTGGCAACACCATGGACTCAGCCATCACTGACGACAACACAATCATAATCCTAGTATCCCATTTTAACTCCCCTTGCCCTATTTCAGTGTTGCTTAGAGCACACACATGCAACACACACACACAACCTACACGTATTGTGACGACAGTATAAAAATTAATCACAAACACATTAATTAGATTGTTAATTATGATTATATATCAACTGTTATTTAACTCAATTTTATATTTTTTGAGAGTGAATCAGTCGTCATCCTTTTTTATATGAGTTAAGTTACTTTTTTTAATAAATAATTATCGAGTTTTTATTGAAGCTACAATCATAGATATATGGATGCTTAATTTTTGTTTAGGTATTAATATTCACTTCAACCACGATTCTAAAATCACAAAGTCATAGAGTTTTTGTCGTGAATTTTTTGTTCATCAAGAATACATAAGATCCATAACTTTTTGTTGTATCTCATAATGACAATTTTAAAAATTATTAGTAAATTAGATTTTTCATAAAATTATCAAGTAGGCAATACATTATTTAAAACCCAAGAAGTTGAGGAATGTATTAATAAAAGACAGACTAATGTTATTATATATCCAATACCTTATAAGCATGTGGTTGGTTGACGTATTATGAAGAGATTAAATATTGGATTTAATTGAGTCTAATACTTTATTTGGTAAGCAAATTTAATACCGTATTAATTTCAAAATCGTATATTTATTATATATTTTTTATACGATAGACCTGTATTATAGAGTTATTTTCATACCACAAATAGAGGTGGTACTATAATTCAACTTAAATATATTATTCTTCACATTTACTATTATAACCTCATAACTGATAAAATCAAGTTGTCATCAATGTAACAAACACTGATTGAGGGTATTTTTGTTAATTTAATATTAATACGATGAAATAAATTCCTAACTAAACAACCGATTAGATTAAATAACTACCATACAACGTTTATATTGTGTATTGGTAAACATTAGATAAAATTATATATTATTCTAATACTCCATTTAATCTTATATTTTGTTTTTTTGTATTGTATTAGATTGGATTACTTTATCTAATCCATTCATTTCTAATACGTCAACCAAAAGAGTCATACGGGTCAATATATGTCAATAGAAGGATACAATTGAAATAAAATATAGTCTTTATGAAATTTAGGACTTTATGAGATAAAATATAAAGATTAAGACTTCATTGATATAAAACAAAAATGATAGTAATAGGTCAAGTCCAAGGCCCCAACTCATGTTATAATCCCGGTCCGAGCTTATAGCTCATCTCCAAGATATTCAGCAAGTCCAGCTCAATGTGGTCAATCAGGTCAAGCTCATCAAGCTCAAGGAGCTACATCAGTAAGGAGCATGCAAGGGTCATCTTAGAGCCTCATCTACCACCTTGGAGTAAGGGTCATCTAAAAGCCTCCTCTATCACCCTGGAGTAAGAGTTATCTAAGAGCCTCATCTATGACCTTGGAGTAAGGGTTTAAGCCAGTCAAGCCCATCAAGGAGCTACGCCACCAAGGGGAGCATCTAGGAGCCTCACCCTTGCCGCTTGGAGAGAGTCAATCTTCCCTCATCCTTTGACCAAGTCCTTTGGAGAACATCACAACTTTCTTGCCTGTTGAGAAGAGGAGAGGTCACAAGCTATTTAATTACTGTTAAAGTCACCACAATCCGTTATGACTATTAAACGACCTCAACCCGTTATGACTGGCAGACTAGCTATTCAATTACTACATTAAATCACTATAAATTGTAAGCCCCACCAACACTTGGGGGATATCTCACTCATTTTGAGCATAATTCTCTTATTCTCTCTGAAAACTTGTAATCTTATGCTCTCCCACTGCACTAGAGTTAATAAAATTCCGGTGACCCTTGCCATTCCAAGTGGACGTAGGTCACCTTAACCGAACCACTATAAACTTGATCTTCTCTCTCTCTCTATTTTACTATATTTTATATTATTTAATTGATAGGTGATTTGCAAACCAATTTTGTGCATCATCAGATAGGACTTAATGAATGTCTGTGAGGAAAAGTAATATTTATTAGTAATATTTTCAAAACTAAATCAAGGAAAGATTTGTGATTACAATTTTTTTTTTGGATATAATATCAAAAAATTCTTTCTAATACTATACCCTTGTTTATTTATTTGACTTATAATTTTTTTTAATCAAGATAAGTACATAATCAATGCACAATTACTTATCTATCCAACGTCTCTATATATACAATGAAAAACAATAGAGCAAATGACTGATCATAATCCACTATCACTCCCAACAGGGTCCGACATTGAGAGGGTAGAGGCAAACAAAGTTCAATATTCAGGGTTTTAAGATCCCAAGAAAGAATATCGTACTGTTT